ATACTTTTTTTACTTCTATATATAGAATAGATTCTGCATAAATCTCAAAAAGTCAAAATACCTCAAAAATCTAAAATCAATTTTGAAAACATGTATAAATTATATATATGTATAACCTCAAGGTTGGCTCCCGTTGTTACTATTTTTTTATTCTTTTCATTGTCATCATATTTTTGCTCTTGTTTCTATCTATTACACCTCGTTACCTTTAATTTTCATCTATATATTTTTTCTTTTAATTACCATTACCTCCTCTTCTTCTCCTTTTTCTCTTTTCCTAATATTACTTATCAATACTTATTACCACTTACCATCACTTATCCACTTACTTTGTACTATACACTTCATTTTATCCTCTTCGCCATTCCCTCCATCCCAAATTCGTCTTAAAAATCTTATTTTTTATTCTTTTTTTCACCTATATTTATAAATTCTTTCAGCTGCGCCAGTCATGTGCCACGTGACTTCTGATATACTGTAGACTGTGGATGTTGTAGTCTACTGTGGATTACTGCAGAAATTATTATTTTACTTAAATAGTGACCATTCTTCCTAACAAAAGACCACTCACCAAAGTGAAAATGCTAATGTTTTGAACTGCCACCATCTCCACAATGGCCAAGAAACTAGGCAAAACCGGAATTGAGTTTATTTTGATTTTTTCTTTTTTTTTTCTTTTTTTTTCCTTCTTTTATCATGTAATCAATTGATAAATTAATTTATATTTTTAGAATAGAATTGAAATAACTATAAAAGTAACTTTAATTTTTCTTCCTTATATATCAATTATTAAACAATTAGAACAATTGATAATGTTATTTTTTTTTTGCCTTAATTAATTCTTTAGATAGTTCTTAAGTGAAATTAGGATAGATACTTTATTTTCTTTATTTCTTCTTGCACTTTCTTTATTTTCTTAATAAAATCTTTATTGTTATTTATAAATAAGTTATATACATGTTTATTTCTCTCTTTGTATCTGTTCATAAATTATAAGTAAAGTCTATATTGTATAATCCAGAGTCTTAAAATAAACTATTGATCTTTAATTTTTTACTCAAATTGTCATATAACTTAGTCAGAACTTTACTTTTTTTATTCTTTAAATCTATCCATTCTTTAAATCCTTACCAAGTCCTAGTGAAACTATTCCATTTTATTTCTTATTGTCTTTAGATTAGAATTTGCTCTTCTCTATATTCACTATCCTTTCCTTGTAATTGCTCCAGTTTGCCTTCTTCTTGTTTTATCTGATTTTTTTACTTTTATTGCCCTATAGAATAAAATATCAGTTACTTTAGTATTATTTGTTTTTCATGCTTCCAAAACTCACTAATAACTACTGGATTAAATTCAAGTACTTGTTGTACTTGCCCCTTGCTCTTCTAACAGGTAGTATCACCATTTATTTAACTATCCCCTAGTTTTTACTTTCTAATTATCCATCCTTCTAATAAGTCTATACAAATCTTTTTTTAAAACTCCTTTAATTTATTATCTACTTTTATTTATTTTTTCTTATCATTATACCAGTCAAATACAAAAGAATAACTATATCAAATAGTAATTACTATATTATAAATCAGCTAAAAATCAAAAAAAAATTGATTGTTCTATTATATCTTATATTACATCTTATATTACAAGTTAGCTAAAAATTGAAATTCCTTTTCAGTACAATTCTTTTGTATCTGGTCTGTGTCAATTGCTATTATTTTTACTTTGTTATTTTTACTACTGTCTTGTTCTTTCCTAATTTCCTACACTTACCCAATTTCATCCTATTATTACACTAGTCAAATACAAAAGAATTACTATATCAAATGGTAATTCTTATATTATAGATCAGCTAAAAATCAGTAACAATTGACTGTTCTATTACATCTTATATTATAATCAACTAAAATCAGAATTCCTTTTTGATACAGCATATCTTTTGTATTTGACCTGTGTTATTTTCACTCTGGAATCTTGTCCTATTTCAATCCTATAGAATAAATTAGTATTTTTATTAGTATTAGAAGTTTTTTCATACTTTCCAAATTCTAATAACTATCAGACTAAATCCAAGCACTTTTATTGTACTTGTAATCACTCTCCCAACCAGGTGATATTAATGTCAAAAAAAATTTGTCAATTTTTAATTATTCAACATGTAAAAAATAGGGTATATACATGTTATTAAAAATAAAAAACCTTTGACTCAATTACTGAAATTTTAATTGCATCAAATAATTGTCAATTACATCAATTTTTCAATTTCAAGTTTTCATAATTTTAATTGCATTTGACTAAATTCAATAGTTTTGATGTATAGATAAGATATACAAATAAACTGTACAGTGTAATCAGGTAGATTGTATTTGTACAGTACAAATGTAATTTGTATTTATAAAATTTGTGTTGTATGAAATTTGATTATTTAAAAATTTGTACAAAATTCTCAAATCTTGGTTATACTGTACAACATATCTGATTGTACTGAACTGTTTATCATCACACCTATGGAGATAGGATCTAATGATATGTTTAACCACATGTTGAATAATCAAATTGGCTTAGCCTATTTGTATATCATCCTACCTATTTGCATATCATCCAAAAATCTCTCTACATATTTGTGCCAAAAATTTTGCCTGTTTTTTTCTTATCTGATGAATAGGCAAGAATGATTTTTTGATGATTTTGTAAATAGACAGAATATGCCAGGTATCACAGGTCAAATGAAAGGAATATTTGAAATATTTGCAATTAGATGAGGATAATTTATTTTATTTTTCATTTGGAATTTACCTAAATACTACTTTTATTCTGCACAAATGTGACAATATTAATACAGTAATTAATGATATCTAATAGATTAAATAAATTAATAAATAAATAATTTCCTTTCTTTTCTAACCATTACCCAATAATTCGGGTGTGTTCACCTCTCCTTTCTGTATTTTTTCAACCATTTTTATAAGATCATAATTAATTTCTTGTGATACTACAGAATCACATTTATATTTAGGATGTGATTGAACAAAATTACGTATCCAAGTTGCTTCAGTTTGAATTTCTCCTATTTTTTGAAGTTGATATTAGATATATTTAAGAATAAACTGAGAATGAGAATAACAATCATTTACCTTTAGCACGCAGTTTAATAAATTCCAAATATTTTTCCAACTGATGCTTTGTTGAAATATCAATATCTACCGAATTAAGATATTGAAATATTAAAGTAATCAATCCTGTAAATTTTGCATCCTTTAAAAACAAAAATTATAAAAATTGTAATAAGTACATATAATATTCGTATATTTAAATTTTAAAACTATTTCATTACCTTGCCATTAATTATTTCGTTTATAGTCATTTTCTCGTGTTCATCTTCATCTTCATCTTCAATTGAAATTGACGTCCCATTTATATTAGTAGAATGACCATTTAAACAATAATTTATAGAATTGTTTGAGTGATTTAACTCATTGTCTAAATTAAAAACATATTAGAAATATATAATTAGCTTTATGCATAAATTATATATATAAAAATATAAACTACTTTACCTTGAATTATATTCCTTCTGAACCAAAATTTTTCGCTCAAGACTGCATTTCGCCTATGAGCAATTCCCATATTTTCATCCACCTATTGAGAAATTTTAATGGTATCAATTGGCTTACAGAAATATGTGTAATAAAATAAATAATAAATATTTTTATAAAAGCATTTACCTTTGATATTGGAATATAAAAATTTAATCGATAATTTAATATCACACGCGCCAACAATACAATAAATACTGCAAACGCAGCATTTTCAAAATCGGTAATTTGAATTTCCATACTACGAAATTCAACTCGCCATCCGATATTGGAATTTGGCGGGGGAGGTTTAAATCTCATTGTTTGCCAATTTGTGGATTGAATATTCTATAATAATTTTTATTAAGATTTCATTATAATTTAGATTAAAGAATATAATATATGTAAAAATGCAAATATGTGGAATAATATACCTCAAAATGATCAGAGGAAACATGATCATCTTGGTCTAATAATTCTTCAAAAATAACCAATGGATCACGAATGAATAAGTGTGATATGTGACGTGCTAATAGTTCGTCAATCCCTAAAGATAACAATGAGATCATAAAAAAAAAAAAAATTAGAAAATTACAAATTATTTGATTTCTATAAATAAAATTTAGATTAATATTAACCATTATCCATTAGTTTTTCACAAATTTTCTTATCATAAACTAAGTTTAGATCATTATATTCTGGTTTTAGGATTTTCTCGGTAGAAATATAGCAGTCAATTGAATCGTAACGTGATTTGTTAATTACAAATCTATCTTTCTTAAGAGGCTAAAAATAAAAATAAAAATTATAGAATTTATCAAATTACATAACAATAAACAAAATGAACAACTAAAAAAAAAAGACTAAAAACATTTATAAATATACAAATTATTCATTTTAATTATTTTAATTATAAAAAAAAAAAAAATACCTCTAAATCCCTTTCTTCTTTTGTGCGATCATCCACACTACAAGCAATTACATTCCATCTACAATCGACGTCAGATAAGTATCCTCTATAAATTGGAGCTGCTGCTGTCAATGCCAACTAAATTAATAATAACAATTAAAAATTTATTTATTATAAAATTTTATTTTTTTAAAAGAAAATTATTGAAAATCCTTACCATGATAGGTGACATGGTAGCTAAATGATCATATAATCGTCTTGCTTCATCAATATTACAAGCTTGAAAAGTAATTTGCAAACAACTACAACCCATTCCAAATACCATAGAATCCATGTATATGTGATCAAGAAAAGCAGCACCTTCCGCAGCTTCGCTGTCTTCAGGATATAAATTACGATCCCGGGGAATGGTAGGATCAATAAATGGTTTTGGTGTTTTTTTATCATGATAAATTGGCATATTGATGGCTACTTTTGAACCTCTACGTTTCCTAATATTGGCTGTAAGTGTTCTGTTATTATGTATAAGACATAATTATTCAAAATGTCAAATTATTCAAAAATGTCAAACTATTCAAAAAATGTTAAATTATTCAAAAATATCAAATCATTCAAATTGATCAAAAAAAAAAAAATTAGAAAAACGCTTACGGAAATCTCGCATGTGGATTTATAATCTCATCAGGAACAAACAAGCTTCTTGAAATAGGCCCTGTTGGTTCATGATGAGGTTCTAAGAATTGGCCTTGACCAAGACGTGGAAAGCTAGTAAGTGTGATTAGAACTTCATTTTGTTCCAAATGTTTCTCTGCGATCTCTCTTCGTAACTTCATGTTTGGTTCAACTTGAATTAGATCACTCAACGAACTACCATATGGCTTTCCAGGTGTACCTATTATAAAATGATAGATTTTTTACTTAATTGAAACCTTTTATTTAATTTCCTATTAATTAATTATTATTAACTAATGATATCCAAAATACCTTCGAGCATATATCTTCCATATTCTGGTTTCCATGAAGTATTTGATACCTTTCTGTTAATAACAGTTCAGGATCGAAATCAATGACAACAAAGTTACACGTTATCACCGATTAGGTAAACTCAAAATGAATACCCCGAATTCGGATTAATTCGTTCCTCTTCTTCTTCTTTTTGTAATTCTTCTAAAATTTCAAAAGCTCTTAATGATAATTTCGCATTCTTGTTTTCCTCGTCATAAGTGACCACAGTATATTCAACCTTTATGAAAAAATCGAAAAAAAAATATCAATAACAAATTATTAAGTCCATGCGATATTTAAAAGAATGGACATTACTTCATCACCCCATAATAAAGAATCATTTTGTATATCCCTGGATTTATAATAAAGTGCTAAGAATTGGTCTATTCCATGATTACGAACGTAATCACGGTGTTGTTTGGCTTTCTCCCAAGGAAGCGGAGTTCCCATAGTTAATAGTCCCATTGTTCAAAGTATTAAAAGTAAAATTTCAAAAATCAATATTTTTGCGAAATTTATACTTGCATAAGGCGATGATATTTTAAATGTTACACACAAATAATTAATATTTAAGTAAATTTATAAGCAATCTAACCTATTTTGTCTATTTATACGGTATATGAATTTGAAAGTCTTTTCCTTTTTCTTTATCTCTATTCAAACTAATGATAATTTTGACATTTCTGAATACACTTCCTTATAGGAAAAATATATTTCCCCCGATCATCCACGTTTATTTTTTTTTTCCGCTTATCAGACCAATGAAAAGATTGTAGAAGGTGTAATTCTGATTGGCTGATACAATGACCATTAATATTTAATACATTATATGAAGATTATTTGAGACATTGCAATTTCAAATAATATTAGAAATTTATTTCTTATTGTGTAAATTAAAATTTAATATAATTCTAATTAACTGGTACAAATATAATTATATCCAATTGCACTAGACAAAGATTAGTTGATAAAGATAATATCTGTGATTATGAATTACAGAATATATATTATCCATATTACAATTATTGCAAATTTATAATTCAAAAGTTTTGCAATTCAATTATTCACAAGTCAGCAATGGTTTTGTTATTACATAATTATTTTGCTATTATGTAATCATTCTGCAAGTTTATAATTATTTCAATATCAATTTAATTAGTATATAAATTAATGATACATTATTTTAAAATATTGGAAATAACATAATTATATTATTTCCACTTAGGTATGTGTCACAATGACAGAAATGCAATACCGTCATCACATATTCCTATTGTAAGGAATCTAAAGTGAAGTTAAATCTTGTGAAATTTATGTTTAATCATGTGATAATGGTAATAAATTAATCTTACCCAGTATCGCCATAGAAATTTCACCCCCTATATACTAAATTCATGGGTTAGGGTTAGGGTTTATCATGGGTAATGTATTTATCACCGTGTGTCACACCCTTCAAATATCAATTTTCATTAAATATTCTGGAGACTTGGAATTACGGAAAACATATTCGTCACCGAATATTCATCATCCTGTAAAAGCAACACGTGAAAATTTCTGATCATCCACCAGGGACATGTAAAAATTATTTGAATTATTTCAAATATTTATTTGGAAAATTACAAATATTGAATAAATTTGAATAAAATTTTACTAATAATTTTAATGATGGTTTTTATTATTATATTTATTATATTTGATAACTAAAAACCATAAATTTTATTAACCTAAGTTATTAAAATACATCATATTTAATATCTTAAGTGATTTGGTACTTAAATTTTGCCTATTATTATTAAGAATATTATTGTAAACTGAAAAACTCCATTCTACAGTACAAGAAAAAATAGGTAACCATATATAATCAAATGCAATTTCACTCAAAAGAGGAAAAGTAGATGTTATTTTTTTTCAAAAATTTTGAAAATTTGAATAATCAACTTCAATTAATTCAAAATTACAATATAAAGACCATTCTTGCAGAAGTTCTATAGATGAATTTAATCATTATGAAATATTAGAACTATATTTTTGAATATCATGATTTGATAAAGATAATTTCAAATAGCGTGGATCAAAAATACAAATTATTTTGAAAAATGATTGGAAAAGATGATTAGAAAAATGAATAGAAATTTATTATAGACTGCATTATATGCAGATTAAAAAATTGGAATAAAATTGGATAATTCAATATTATATTTAGAAAGAACATTATTAATTTCATTACCAAAATTTGTTGCAGTTGTTCCATAAGTAAGATAAATTTCAAGTTGCTGAATTCTTGCTTCAATTAAAGAAAAAATAGAATCTGTTTTCTTTTGAAAAAAATCAGTATCTAATATAAATTGATGTGAATAATAACAAATAAAAGTTAAATATATTTTCATTAATCCATTTACATTTCTATCATTAAAAATTGACATAATATTTTCAATTGTTTCATTGGATTCCAGTTCATGCTCTTCAGAATAAAATCCTCAAATATAGTTCAAATAGTCAAAAACATATATTGTCATTTGAAACTGAGAATTTTATCTTGTTGGCATAAATCGTAAAGTTAATTGTTGAGTATTTTGAGAATTTAAACTATTATCAGAATTAGTTAAAATATCTTTAATGCCATATTACCAAAGATAATCCATATATTTAGATTGTTGTGCTTTAAAATAAACCATAGTTTTTTTAATATTTAGAATTAATTACACTACAGACTTTTTTGTCTATAGTTTTATCAATTATAATAAAAACTGGTTTACCACAAAATATTTCATAAAGTTGTTTATAATATTGCTCAAAAATACTACTTAAATAATGTTTTCGAATACTATTAGCTAAAGAAATAGAACCATCCTCTTTACAATACTTCTTATTTTTTCAAATGAAATATCTGTTTCTATTCAGATTTTTACTAAATCATAAATTATTTTTTTTTCCCATCTGCGACTACCATTGAGACATGAAAAGCTGTTGACAGCTATTACAATTGACAGTAACATCTGAATGACAAAAATCTTTGTAAACTTTTGAATTTATATGTATAGTAATAGTGACCTTATTTTGTCAGCCAATACTTATATTACAAAACTTGCAAAAAAAGTTTATTATTATCTATAAAAAGATCCTCTGAAAATTCTCGTGCCTGTTGTTATGGGTGTTATTGTTAACATCCATTCAACGGTTCTTTTAAGAAGTTTATAGTCCTTCCCCATAGGTACAAGACTTCCAGTTTGGTTGTTCCTTGAATTTTAGAAGGCACCAGTTAGTTT